CAACTTGACCTCTTCGAAAAATATCTCAAGATTTTAATTTCTAATCCTTATCAACCTGACCACTTCGAATATTTTCTAAATTACTTTATTTGAATTTCTGATCAGTTGTAGGTCTTCAAAACAATTCCTGCTTATTTTGATCTCTTGTAGTAATATCCGAAAAGTTTCGATTGATTTATTGATCAGTTGTAGGTTCTCAGAATAATACCTGATCAATTTAAACTATTCAAAGAATATCAAAAGGACATCGTTTGAATTTCTGTTCAGTTGTAGGTCTTCAGAATAATTATTAACTTAAATTAAATTAAATCTGGTATTTTTCTGATGTTTATAGAACTACCAACAATCAATACGAAACTAACGATTTTAAATTGGCTCACCACTTTAGTAGCCTATTGGTCCCAAGCAAACGATTAACGTACCCTATTCTAGTTGAAATTCTATTACTACACTATGTTTGTTTTGATTCGCTATGAAAGTTTGACAGATAACATCAGGGGTGTGTGGATTCATGCAGAACATGCAGGGGTGAGTGAAATAGCTTGGGACTGCTTGGGACCGTTGTTCTGGTACTGAGTGAGCCAAAAATAATAATGATTTTCTTCGGGACCCAGTGGTCTTAGAGTTACCTCTATGGAACTACCCTGAAGTTCTAGTAGTTCTTCTAACTAACCTTAAAATGTACATTTACCCCTATACCGCTATGCCGCTGTCCTGGTGTCATTGGGTTCGGCCCTTTACCTGGCTCGTAGACATTTCAAAGACAACAATGTCTGCATGATGTTTATACATCGGTTCAAACTATGCGTATTGATAAGTTTTCTGAAAAGATTTGGATCTAGGTGCATAGTTTGCTTTGATAGTCTTTCACAGTTTCTCTAGCATTCTCTAGTCTTAGCTCATCTAAATATTTACAGCAAAATCCCTGGATTAATCTTCAATTTGGCTTTGTTTTCTTGTTTATTTTCTATCGTTCTATGTTCTGCAACCGAGTGGCAACCACTTACGCCAGGGAGGCAATTGAACACCTAGACCTGGACTCATCAACGCAAGGGCCAGGATCCACGGCTGTGCTTCTTTTCGAAGGAAGGCATGACACCACCAAAGCAACCAAGGAAGTCATCAATCACCACCAACTGACGAGTTTCGTTTGTGGTTCGACACATGGACGGAGCATTTGTGTTTTGCTAAATTTTGCAAATTATTGGGGAATTTCCCTAAACTTTCACGCGGCCACCAGTTTTCACTCTTGCACAGGCCTTAAGGGTAACCCACATTAGATCTGCTTGCGTTGCGTTGTCGTAAATTTTATAGTTAGACAATATATTTAGCTGTCACTTTGCTGCATCGCGCCAGATCCGGATCTAATGTGGGTGGCCCTGTAGATTTGGAAACTTGATTATGTAAACACTAGGCATCTTTTTCTGGTAGTTCGTTCAAAAATGATACAACAATCGTCAAGCTCGCTGTAACGTCACCTAGTGCCTCGTCACCTACAAATTGGCGCCTATGTCAGTGGTCTAATAACTCTTAGCGCGCTAATGGCATAGTTCCCCTGCCGCATAGAGAGTTGCCGCAATGACATTAGGTTAGCTAAGGTCAGTTAACTGACTGGTGGGAAACGGGAGCTTCAGCATTGACAGTTATGTACGCATTTTTATGATGTTATCTAACAACAATGGTGTGTAGTGTTTACACGATTATGTTACTAATTCTAATGTGTTGTAAATATAATTGAAAGCATTTGAAAAGTAAGATTCTAGTGTTTTGTATATCTAAAAACATTAGTAAACATCTACATTTGAAAACATTCAAACAACGTTTACTTTAAACGTTTTGTACATCTGAAAACATCAGAGAACAACAAACACGAAGTACAATTGAAAACATCCGAACAACGTTTAGTTCTAACGTTGTGTACATCCGAAAACATCCAAAAAACGCTTGGTTCTAGCATCGGGAAACATCTACATAAGAAAACATCAGAAAACGTTTACATATAAAAACATCCGAACAACGTTTAGTTCTAACGTAATGTACATCAGAAAACATCCTTAAAACGTTTGGTTCTAATGTCAAGAGATTGAAATTTTTGACGTCAGACCGACATTAGAATGGCAAAATTTTGTTCCAAAATTTCTGATGTATACACCATGTTACGTTGCTTAAATACAACTAAATCATAATGTTTTCTAATGTTTGACATCAGGCATACATTTGATTTCGATGCTGATGTAGACATCAAAATCAAACGTTGGGCTAATGTAAATTTCTATTCGGGAGATGTCGCTACTGAGGTTATATGTTTTGAGATACTATGTTTTCAAGAACAAGTTTTTCAAAGAGTTACGTCTGTTTGTCTGCGGTTAAATGCTTGTTCGATGAACAACTTGCGAGAGTTATGTCTGTTTGTCTGTGGTAGGACTACGTGGACTTATATCATAAATATTATTTGTTAACTGCAGCAGGAGCTTGTGTTTTGTGTAGGAATTGGAATTCGAGCGGGGTTCTCTCTGTTTATGCTCTTTAGTATGACGCGTTTGACTTAGATGGCCCACAATGACTCACGAAGAGCTACTGATTGCGATCAATAGCGGCGCGGCTTCTTCCTACTTTTATGGATGCTCATGTGGGCTGCAGAGCTCGCTGCTTGCAGGCAGCAATCATCCAACATCCACACGCCGAATGCACTGCTACTGCTGCTGATGCCGACGACCGGACACCACCACCCACGGTGATTAGACTGAATCCGATCAGCGGTTGAGGGCAGCCTTGATAGCTAGCTTGCAGGCAGCCTTTCGTTGAGTACTGGAGAACACCATCACTCACCACGCGGTGATTGAATTAACACCGTTTTGTGAGAGCGGATGGAATTCAACTTTGAAATCTGTGTTAGGGAAATCGCTTTTCGCAGGCAATCAGTGATAATTTTAACTATAATAGCAACAGTTGCACGTTCGTGCTATTTCAATAGTGACATTTTGAAAAATGACAAAATCTTAAATTTGACAGATGCGTCGAAATATTTCTGATCGATTGGTGATAAAATTATTTAAATTGGTCCAGGGGCAGCTGAGTTATTAACGTTTAAAATCTTTCATAATTTTGTTACATGTGCCATTTTCGGTTTTCACAAAGTGTACCCCCATAAAGAAATCACAGACGTAGTCCTACGTCAAAAAAAGCTCATTTTCAATGTGTTGAATTATGCAAAGTTTTATGCAAATCGGAGAAGGTCGAGTTTTTACGATTCGTCATTTGGCGTGGAACTGCTCCTTTTTTAATGGGGATCGATTTCGAATCCAGGACAGTATCCAGGGGTGGGTAGATGGTAACCGAAAACACCCAATAATGACTATAAAAAATCTCAGGCTGTGTTCCGTTTGGTGAATTTTCACTTAAATTTTAAATTGTCAAATTAAAGTGAAAATTCATCAAATGGAACACAGCCTCAATATTGACTACAAAGTAAGCATTTTTGAGGGAAACTGGGACTACCAATTGAATGAGTAAAAGAAATACCCCTTTATGCGAGCCTTTATGAGTATTTGTTACTCACAAATGACTACTTACTTTTGTAGTTGTAATTACTTATAAATGGGCAAATTTTTACTGATTTCATAGAAATTATTGCAATGCAATAAAATTCATTGTAGCAAGCAGGACCCAATAAAGTCATTTTCAATCGAAAATCGTCAATCATCACTTTCAATTGAAAGTCATTCTGTCTTCGCTTCGAGCAGATCCCCTTTTCAACAGAACCACTTTCGATCATGCTGTTTCATGCTGTTTGTTTTGGCTTCACTCGTGTTCATTTCGAGGGGGGCGACACATCTAAATCTCAATTCTAGATGATCAAAAAATCTTATACTAGCGAATCAATCTTCGAAAAATCATCTTTCATTTTTCCCATCTACTTGCATCGTGCTTCATCTTTTTGCAGGAAATCTTCAAAATCGACATAAATCTTCCTTCTATCTACTCAGCGTGCGTGCAGCTAGCCACAGTAAAACACAATCTTTTCTGCATCGTAGATAGAGTCGTCCCCCTCGGTTCATTTCGTCTTTCATTGTCACGATTTTAAATTGGTTCACTACTTGACTAGCCTATTGGTCCCAAGCAAATCGATTAACGTATCCCATTCTAGTCAAATTTCTAGTACTACACATTGTTTGTTTTGATTCGCTATGAAAGTTTGACAGCTAAAATGAGGGGTTAGTGGAATTTCCTATGTTTCGAGGGGTGAATCGATTAGCTTGGGACCGAAGATAGTATCAGAGCTGAGCCAAAAAGTAGAGCTCGTTTCTTCGGGACCTACTAGTCTTAGAGTTACCAACAATCTATACGAAACTATCGATTTTAAATTGGCTCACTACTTGACTAGCCTATTGGTCCCAAGCAAACGATAAACGTATCCCATTCTAGTCGGAATTCTAGTACTAAACTATGTTTGTTTTGATTCTCTATGGAGTTACCTCTATGGTAATAGTGTTGGTAGAACCCCGTTAGTTTGAGTAACTAAAATGGCAACTACACGGCGCTCGTTTGGAATTTCTGTAACTGGTACTCCTACACATTCGCTATTGAGGGGGAACCAGCTAAACAAATTCTAAATGAGTGCCGTTTAATTGTCATTTTAGCTATTCAAACCATCGGGGTTCTACGGTATTTGGTATTGCTGCTAGGTCAAATTTGGTTCTAAAATTTAAAAAAGGTGTTAGGTTTTGAACGCTCATAACTTAGTCATTGATGGATGAAATTAAAATTGAAATATGCCAATCGATAGGAAATAACTCTACGAATCTGCTATAATAATTTAAAGCATTTAACATCACTGTTTGACACAAAACTAACAAATTGATAGCTCACTCTCATACAAAGTCCCACCGAGGGGCGCCAAGATTGTTGCACATACATTTACCAAAAACCGATTTTTTTTTTCATAATTAAAGAACCCAATTGAATATAAACTTGTCTCATGATATTCTCAAGGCAATCAAACATTTGAGTCAGTTACAATTATATTGCATTTAGGATCAAATAGTTAACACTTTTAAGATCTAAATGTTTTACTATCCCAGCGTAGACTCTGAAATTCTATCATTTCACTTGTTTCTCCACAAAGCTTGATTCTTGTTAACCACTAAGCACCATTTTAGGCATCGGTTGTCCTTTGACGCCCAATCCGGTCACTTTGAACAGCGCTCCGGCAGGTGGAGCTTGGTTGTCAGTATGAGCCGTTGTCACAAGTAGTTCATCAAGTTGCGGTCCACCGAAGGCTACCGATGTTACAAATTTGGCCGGAATGGCGATTTCCTGTTCAACTTTCTTCGTTCTGCAAACAAGACGCAAATGTCAAAATAATCATTTGATGATTTATCTACAACGTACCTCGGATTAATCTTCATCACCTTGGAGCCAGCCCACGTGGCAACATACAAATTCCCGTCCTCGTCATGCGTCATCCCATCGCCAAAGTAACCTGGACCTTTCCCGTCAACTCGAAAGTCAAACAGGATAGTTTCGTTCTGCAAATCCCCATTCTCCAGCACGTCAAATTCCTTTACATCCAACGCAGCCGTGTCAATGTAATAAAACTTGTTATTGGTCCACGTCAGCCCGTTGGAGATGCTGATTCCATCCTTCAACATGTGGAACTCTCCACCAGCCTTGCCATCGAAACGGTACAGTTTACCTTCCTTCTGCTGGAAAATGTCACCCAACGTCTCCAGTTGCATGGTTCCGGCGTACAGTCGACCCTTGGGATCCACCTTGCCCTCGTTGAAGCGCACGTGCTTCTGCGATTCGCCCAAGTCGTACAAGGTCTTTACAAAAGTTCCCTTCTCCGAACGACCATTCCAGCTGACTAGTACAAGCTTGTTGCCCGTTCCCAGGACAAACTGGTCCGGTTTTCCTTGCACTAGGATGATTGGCGCAATCGGAGAAACGCCATCTGTTGAGATGAAAGTTTCCGGGAGTTATTTGAACTATATCTAGGAAATTTACGTGTTGCATTTTACCAATTTTGGTACTGTAGGTTTTGTTCTCGGCGTAGTCGTAGCGATGGATGGACGCCACGTTGATATCGACGTAGTAGAGACTTTGGCTGTCCACATCCCATACTGTCTTCGCGCCCAGTGGGGCGAGGGGGCTCGGAAGCTGCTGAATAGTGTACTGTGCGGCCATCTACAGGAAAAGAAAGACAGGGGTTTTGTTAATTATTCGAACAAAATAAAAATCTTGTCGGAACCCTTTTCGGAAGTTCCATGATTTTTTTTTTCTGAAATTCAGTGAAGTTGTCATGTGTTCTGTGAAATTTTCTGAAGACCTATAAAAATTTCACTGAATTTCTAAGAAGTACACGGAACTTCCAAGAAGTGTGAACTTCTCGAAAGTTCCGTGAACTGTTCTGAAATTTTTAGGACTTCTTAGTTCCTAAAACTTGTTCAAACTTTTATGATCTTCTCTGAAATATTACAAATTTCTCTGAAAATCCCTTAAATTATTTCTAAACCGTTAAAATGTTTCCGATGTTCTCTGAGATAATCTCATCAGCCGTGTACTCCTCGTGTACCACCTGGAACGTTCTTTCGACAATAATGTTCACGTCGCCAGCGATAGAGATGAACTGGCAGGATTTATTGAAGATCGTGCCATATGATTCATACCCTCATCAAATACCACGCGTCCCAAAACCACATTTGTAGTCAATCATAAATTATATCAGTGTGGCCTTTGCAGGTCATTAAATAGGCCCCTACAGTCGAACACAACCCAAATTATGTGATTGAACCACGTTTTTTTTAATTTTAAGTGAGTGTTAAGATTAGAAGCAGTCAAGGGTCAACTGATTGCGGCCGGGACAATTTTAACGCCCATTTAAGTGACTATGACCAAGCACGAAGCTAATGACGTTTGGAGCTGCTGCATTGTCCACGTCCACACGACGTTGGGAAAACACGTTTATCACGTTCTAGTGCAAATAAATGGAAATAATTTCACTCGCTAAAGTTTGTCCGTAAGATTCTAGTCCCATAATTTCAAAAGAAGTTTTATAATTTTATGGTACCGGTAATTCAGATAGCTTCCCTTATTTTGCAGTATCTAAAGCAGTGATCGATAGTTCCCATTCCTGGTAACTAATCAACAACCAACTGATAACACCTCAAACTACACTACTTATGTGGCACTCTATGTATGATTCTTCATGCAATAAATCTTTATGGCTTGCAGCAGCGCTGATCCAACAAAAGTGCACTTGGTGATAAGGATAATTTCCGGATCTCCATTAATTAGTGTTTCCACCACTTCATATTTAAATTAATCAAATTGCATAACCCACAAAGATCTAAATGCCACTTACATGGTCTATCAGAGCCAGCAAACAAAATGCAACTGATGCGACTGCAGTCATCGTCGGCACCGGTGCACTTCCACTTCGGTTATGTACCGGCATTTCTCTCGTCCCTTATGTAAATACCTATCGCACACAAAACAACTACCGGTTGATTACTTTACTGCACCAATAGACCTGTCCCGTCTGAGCAAATCCACACTTTTTTATATTTTTAATTGAAGGTTCATTGTATTTCCTGATGCCTGTTTGACTTTTTTCAAATTGTTAAAGCTTATGGTTGATTTCCAAATTCCACAATTTCCGCTTTTGGTACGATCTGATGTACAGTCTTAACCTTTTAGAAGACTAAGATTGTGTTCTATTTGGTAATTTTCACTTATATTTTACACTTTGCAAATACATTAATATGTTCGAAAATCGGCCGATCACCAAAAGAAGGATTTTGAGGCTGTTTGTCAAAATTCATATCTTGTCGGTCAGAAATAAATCTGGTGAATTAACAGAGTTATTTGAAAATTTGACCTCTGTCAAATTAAAGTGAAAATTCAGTGAAAGATTGTTTTGGAAAATATATAAATTAGGTGTTTGGGTTAGACGGGACAACTCTATTGTGTTTGCTTGAGTGCAAGAAACAAAAAATCGAACCCAGTAGTCCTCCGTTTTTTTACACTAAATTGTACCAATATAAATAACTGAATCAGAGCCGTCGGAGTCCTGGTCTCGAATGTCTCTGATAGCCGGCAGTTCAAATGAGACTGATCTGCGTGATCAGCGTTCGACGAAGATGAATCGATTTGACCTTACCGGTGACCTTGACATTAATCTCTCAACCATGATAATGAACTGTGGTGGTATAGATTTGCCCTTGCTGTTGGTGCTTTTTGCACTCTGTGTTTCTCTAAACTAGGGTGGCAAATATTTCCTGTTCTTCCTCTCGGTCAGACCTGGTCAAACTGTAGACGAATTTCACTTTTTGAACTATACAGTTCGAAAAAGTAGTGTAAATTTCTGTTCAGTATGATGCACATAAACTGAGCGGCACATATCATATAAGTTTACATCCTATATCATGTAAAGTTCTAAGACATTTCATACAATGTAGCGAATATTGTATACAAAAGCCCATTATTGTAAACAACATTGTTTACAAGTTGCTCGGATGCGTGAAATGAAATACAAGTTTACGTTAATGAATGTTTACATCACCATTAAAATTCAGAATTAATTTTTACGATCTCGAGGGGACACGTCGACGATGACAGGAGCACATATCGTGGTAGGGGTAAACAATAGTTGCAATTTCCAAACCTACGACTGGATGCCTTCCTTCAAATAACAACTGAAGTGCGGTAAAAAATCGGTAGAACTGTTTCAAACACACAGTTGGTACTTGAGCGGGTCGGTGTTCATCTCTTTTTGCCAGTGGTGGCGGGGGGGGGGGGGACACCCTTCACCATCCCTCTCCAAAGGGGGAGTTTGGTAAAGAGAGATGAAAAAACCGATTTGTACCTTCTTTAAAAGTTGTCCTAGCTCGCTTCTCTAATATCTATATACAATCTTCACACTGCCGTACTCTAACGGAACTATCAACTCTATGCTTTCATCTACTCTATCTATCGTATAAAAATTACCACTACAGTCAGTTCTGGTACTCTCTTCGGTCCCAAATTAATCGATGCCGTTATGAGCCGTTAGTTTCCACCGGTTGATCATACTCTTTACCGAGTGGTGCAGAGTCGGTAACTTTCAGTTTCCAAATTATTTTGCTTGTAAAATATTCATTTTCTTGCCATTGTTTACATCCTCTCAACACTGCTCACAAATTGGCGACTTTTTTCCAGAGCACAAATGAGAACTCATCAGTGATGTAAAATATCATGACACTCGTCAACGCATCAACCGACTATCACTGATAGAAGTTTAATCAGGCTTGCAATTGCTCATTACAGTTAAAATGCTAGTTTTCGTAATTATGAAACTATGGGATACTATAATCACAGACAAACAGACGTAACTCTTTGAAAAACTTGTTCTTGAAAACATAGTATCTCAAAACATATAACCTCAGTAGCGACATCTCTCTGGCTTCTCGCGGAAAACAATCTTGCTCGTTAACTCGTAAACAATATTGCATAAAAGTTCTATAGAATATATAGAAACGTCAAAGTGATTCGATGCCAGCGCTGCGGCGAGTAGTTCGCGGAACTGATAATATTCAAATCAACCGTTAAATGCATGAACGAAGATACACAATGAAAAGTTACGTCTGTTTGTCTGTGCTATAATGATAATTTTTATTTGTAAGAAGCGAGAAGAGGTGGTAAAGTTTGCGTATGACACATAAAATTTGTCAATTTTGCTTTCAGAAGGTCACAACAGGTCACAACCTGGGTACTGCGGAGTCGTTCGATTTCATTTTGCAAGCCAATAGAAAACTGCTTGAAATTTTTCTCAAGTTTAAAACTGTGTTTGGTCAAACGTCCGGCTGGCGCACAATAGATACGTTTTCGGGTTTTTGACAGATAATGCATGGGCTAACTGTCAAAAAACCTGAAAACGTATCTATTGTGCGCCGGCCTTTAGAGTTACCTCTATGGTACATCTATCTTCACACAGATGTCGCTACAGTAGTATTCACAAGTGTCTCTTTCTGTTGTGTACTGTTTTGTATTGTATTTGACAAATAAAATTATAGTTCGTATGCCTCCGCCATGGCAGGACGGCCAATCCAACGGTCGTGTTTGACTTTATACAGTTCTCCGTAAACACAACGTAAATAGGGTCTAGCCCGTGCCCGATCAAACTGTTTTGCTAGTTCTTAGTTGATTCCCTCCAAAAGCTCTGAGCCAGGAGTTCTATCAAAGTTTGTTTACTTACATGTTTCGCCAAAGTATGTTTTACTGCAATTGAAAACTCAGCTGAGTCATAAATACTGTGCTGGTTTTTATACTTTCATCACTGGCTCTGCTGGTTTTTGTCTTTGAGCTTAAAATTAAGAATGTGTTATGAAAAAGTATGGATAATTTTTATGAGATTACAATGCTTGACGATGGATAAGTACAGTAACTGCATGTATTGCTTCTGAATGTTTGGCTCCCGTTTGACAGTTCACACTGGCTCCCAAATGACATGCATATTGAGTGAGTCCGCAGTACTCAGGTCACAACTAACGATTTTATGATCGCTGATTGCTCGCTCATCGTTACAGATAATCGCTATTGTGACCCTCTGAAAGCTAAATTGACAGGTTTTATGTGTCATACACACACTTTACCTTCTTTTCCTGCATCTTGTAAATAAGAATTATCATTAAAATATCTCATAGCTTGATAAATCCGAAAAATAGCATTTTAGCTGTGATGAGTATTTACAAGCTTGCGTTTAATCACGCAGTGAGAGGTAAAGCCAAAACTTAACACTCGCTGCTGATGATGATAACCACAACGAAAACAATAAAGACATCCGCAGTACGATGATGAGAAAAAGAGAAACGACAGAGGAGAATGAAAACAATTAGTACGCATTTCAAGTTCGACTCGGCTGTGTGAGTTACAAACAAAGCTGGCAAAATTAAACGGAAGCCGCTGGACTCACGCACCAACACATGCACATAAGCAATTGAAGCAGCAACTGCTTCAAAACGAGCACAGATGAGTGTCGTGATTGTCGGGGGCATGGCCAGATCGGTGCCGGATCACCACCCAGACGGCATTCACCAGTTGCTTTTTACTTCTTTCGTCAACTTGATTGATCGTCATGGAGAGAGCTTCGACATGCACAAAATTTGACAATCGTGAGTGTGATTGGTTGCAACTCTGGAACTCATTCGTGACTTTCTAATTATTTGATTACAATTGCTTGAATGAGCCAATATTTTGTAGAGTTTTAAATAAGCTTTAAAACGGTTATCAAGTAAAAAAGTAAGAGATTGTATCCAAGACACGGCCGTAGATTTGACGTAGGATTGCGTGCTCGGTATCAATATTCGGCGACTGTGTTAGGGAAACCACTTTTTCCCATCATGGAAATGCGTCGTTTTCTGATGACAACATTACACATTTTCTGGTTAATTGACAAGGTCATGTGGCATTCGGTCATTGCGAGAATTTGTGTATACCACAAGGGGTAATCAACTCTGCTCACTGTGCAGAAACACAGCATGGCACTCTGTTCGGCACGATAGAGCACATTTAGACAAGTAGGACACAAACATTATAATATAAAACGGCATCACTGCTGAGTGTTGACGTTTTGCAAATCGTTGCTAAGGTCGAGGGGGGCGACACATCTAATTCTCAAGTTTAGATGCTCAACAAATCTCACACTAGCGAATCAATCTTCGAACAATCTTCTTTCATTTGTCGCATCTACTTGCATCGCTCATCAAGTTTTTGCAGGAAATCTTCAGAATCGTCTTCAATCTTCTTTCTATCTACTCAGCGTGCGCGCAGGTAGCTACAGCAAAACACAATCTTTTTTGCATTGTAGATAGAGTCGTCCCCTCGGCTAAGGATGACTACTCAGGTGATACTTTGTTTACTCAAAAGTAAAACTAGTGAGAGTATTTGTTGTCATACATAAAACTGGTAAAACAACTATTCAATCAAGAACTTAAGAACGACAAGCCGGTTTTGAGGAACACTCGAAAAAAAATCTGTAAGTATTCTCTGAAATGTGGATCGCTTTAAATCTAGCAAAACTCAATCCGATTTGCAGCAAAAATCCCTGTGGCTCGTGATTTCATCCAGAACAGCTTCTATTCGGGCTTGACTTCAATCAAGTTCATCCACACCATGGCCGGTCGAGAGGGTCTTGTCGATACGGCAGTCAAAACAGCTACAGCGAGTTGTCTCTAGCGACTGGTGGTTGGTCAAAAGCTACCTATGGTACAAACTGGTTGTATCCCGTGATCATGACAATCAAAAACAAACCTGGAGACATTGAACGTTAGATTATGCTCGAGTTTATGCACGTTCGCAGTTGGGACGCAAATAAATATTAAGCCGCCTGTGGTGGACATTTTGAAGAAGTCTGTTATCGTATCATCGAGGAACTGAGTGGGAAATTGTTTGTATATCCGACAAATTTTGACTACGCTGGGGCTGAGTAATGCATTTTTGCTAAATACTTTGTCCCTCGAAGCGTACAATGAAGGTTCAGAGCATAATTTTCTGCAAGAGTTCAGGTACATTTACAAGTTTGCTATGCAGAATAATCAATCAATAAAAACAGCTTATCATAGGGGGCGGCCAGGTTCGTATACCGGTCTTGCCAAGGATCATCCGGGATGGAAATTTTAACATTTTCCTCTGCGTTTTCCCTAGTATATTCTTGCCAGTCATTGGTCTCAATTGATATGGACTTCTATGGGATATCCATATCAAGCACATCACCGTCACCAGATCCGGTCATTTTGCAGATGCATCTCAGTCATCATCTTTCTTTTGAACTAGCTCGTATCAAGGGAGCCCAGTGCGATGGGTGGCCTACCGATCGGTCAACTGTAAGGCCTTGCTCATAACTGAAAATTTGATTTGAGGCTTTATTAAAAACTGGCTCGAGGAAGTTTCTCCTAGGGTGGGATTGAATTCTCCTCGCCCATCAATGTTCTGGGTTACTTTAGTCGGGAAGAATCTGACAGGGATCAGGTGGCAAATTTTATTCATCTTCGATCGGGTATGCCTTCGTTTCTGTACATCTGCAAGTAATCAGCAGTTAAACGGGACATCGAGTCGGACGGGTTGAACTCCGTATAGATTTGATGTCTTCCACTTCCTCTTCCACATCCCGATCTGCAAACGTTCTAATGAGAATGAAGAGAAGCAGAATGCTTGCCTTGATCCATTAGAGAAGTTAAGAATACTTTGACTATATGTTTAGTATTACTTCTGCGTGAAGTCAACGATTTACATAGTTGAAGATGCTAATTTCAAATAACAGACTAAAGTGGTAATTTTTATACGATAGATGGAGGAGATGAAAGTCTAGAGTTGATAGTTCCGTTAGAGTACGGCAGTGTGAACATTGCATGTAGAAAGTAGATAGCGAGCTAGGAAAACTTTTAAGGAAGGTACAAATCGGTTTTTTCAACTCACCCCTTTGGAGAGGGATGGTGAGGGATGTTGCCACCTCTGCACTCGGCATAGATTAAGGTGTGCAGAGTTAAATACCCCTTGATATACCACTTCAATACTGTTACGCATTTGACCACAAACATTTGGTTGCTGGGTACATTATCAAACAGTTTTGGGGTTGATGTGGCTGGTAACAAGGCGAGCGAATTTTCAATGAAATATAACTCTTAAACCACAATAATTTATGGTGGTCCTGAAAATAACCGTTTTGTCGTGAGGGTTGAGTAATGCTGAGCTATTAGCAACAATCAATACGAAACTAACGATTTTAAATTGGCTCACTACTTGACTAGCCTATTGGTCCCAAGCAAATCGACTAACGTACCCAATTCTAGTCGAAATTCTAGTACTATACTATGTTTGTTTTGATTCGCTATGAAAGTTTGACAGATAAAATGAGGGGTTAGTGGATTTTCCTATGCTTCGAGGGGTGAATCGATTAGCTTGGGACCGAAGATAGTACCAGAGCTGAGCCAAAAAGTTGAGCTCGTTTCTTTGGGACCTTCTGGTCTTAGAGTTACTCTATCCTATTAGGGTGTTCAACACGGATGAAACTGGCGAGCTGTATGTTTTTTTTGGAACAAGCGTGAGGCGTTTGGCAGAGATGGCCCACAGTGGCTCACGACGAGCAACTGAATCCGATCAGTAGCGGTGCGGCTTCATCCTCGTTTTTCGTTGAATCGAGAGCTCTTGACGGCAGCTTTGATAGCTAGCTGCTTGTAAGAAACCTTTCGTTGTGTACTGGAGAACAATGTTTAACGCCATCTCAGGAATAGCGCTTTTTGCAGGCAATCGGTGATAATTTTGATCACCATTGCAACAGTCGGACATTTGTGTAATTTTCAATAGCGACCTATTGAAAATTGATGGTGTTCATTTTGGCAGATTTGTAGAAAAATTTCCCTTCGATTTGTTTAGAATTAAAATCCATCCGCTATTGACAGAGTTATAACAACAATCAATTCGAAATTAACGATTTGAAATTGGCTCACTACTTGACTAGCCTATTGGTCCCAAGCAAATCGATTAACGCACCCCAATCTAGTATAAACTCCAGTACTACACTATGTTTGTTTTGATTCGCTATGAAAGTTGACAGATCAAATGAGTGGTTCGTGGATTTTTCTATGTTTCGAGGGGTGCATCGACTAGCTTGGGACCGAAGATAGTACCAGAGCTGAGCCAAAAAGTTGAGCACGTTTCTACGGGACCTTCTAGTCTTAGAGTTACCTCTATGGTTATAATTGGTCAAAACCTGACCACTTGTCGTAACGCGGTCGATTTTGTTTTTTTTTTTAAATCGGACCCCCAATATGTCGCCGAAAGACGCAATCCTACTTCACAACTGATCAATATCAAGTCAAACGGTTCAATATGCTTTTTCTGCTTTCCTTCAGACTCGTTTATTCTGATGTTTAGGTTTTCTTTGTTAAGCATATTTACAATCATTAGTGATTATTGCAATGAATTAATCAATCTATCGTAACCATATCAAGCGACATATTAAATCACATCTACTCGGCAAAATATGGCTAATGACACTCAAAATAAATACCATGATACCATATCGTAGAACCGGTTCTGGATATTCTGGATAATGGTTTCACATGATAAAATTTGATATCTCTGAAAACCGTATCAAATCACATCTACTCGAAATATGATCAATGGCACATGAAACGACAACTATAGAGCCATACCCACCCTAATAAAAATTGTATGGTTAATTTGCTTAACGACGTGTTCTGGGTATCATCCAAACCATTTGTGGAATAGTTCAATGATTTGGGTTATCGTTCGTTTATGGTTATTTTTTATTAGGGCAAGTAACCAAAAGTTCCGCATTCAACGATTAAAATCACTTCCAAGTTCTATAAAGTTCAAATGAAGTTCCGACAGCACATTCAAGTTCCATAAAGTTCAAATAAAGTTCTGACAGAACTTTCAAGTTCCATTAAGTTCAAATAAAGTTCCGACAGAACTTTCAAGTTCCATGAAGTGCAAATAAAGTTCCGACAGAACTTTCAAGCCACATGAAGCAATCCGCACAAATCTTTATTTGTAACAAAATTTAATGTACGTAAGTATTAAATGATCAGTGGCCCGAATAAATCATAATTCTTATATTTATTCAACATTATATCCAAAAATAAAAAAAATAAATTAAAAAGTAATTTCCTGGATTCGAACCCGTGTATTCGGCATGCGATCTACGGTTGCTTACCACTGCGCCACAAGTGTGATGGAATACCATGCGGGCAAACACCAATTTAAAATTCATCAAGGTGTTGTGTTTCGTATTCAAGTCAGTCAGCTGGCTCAGAAAACTCCAACAATAGGCGGGACTACAGCTTAGTTTAATATATTTCAGATGACGTAGCGGTTCGTGCTGAGATCTCTCATTAGAAATAGCTTTCATTAAAGTGCGAACGAAATATAGAATTGATGTTTTTTAATTTATTTTCTAAAAGTTCCGTTCAAGTTCCGCCAGAGACTGATTAGAATGCTCTTCAATTATGGTACCGGAACTTTCAAGTTCTTATAACGACTTAAAAATGAGGCTGCTCAGAATTCTATAGACCACCTTCAACCAAGCTGCTTAAGCCATAAATAGCCTTTTATCAGAACTTTTGGTTACTTGGGTATGGTCACCGTAGAACCAGTTCCGGATATTCCGGATCATGGTTCCAAATGGTAAAATTTCACATCTCTCATAACCATATCAAGTGACATATCAAATCACATCTACTCGACGAAATATAATCAATGATACATAAAACGAAACTGAAAATTCTTCTTATGTTAACTGTGAAATCTAGCAACCGCAACGTAATCGTTAAGCGTGGACCTTAAGTCATAGGCAAGGTCAAAATTGAGAATTTTTTTGATTTTTTTGCAAGCTAAAAAATAGTTTTGTGTTTCGCCTACATTTTCCCAAGCAAGCTTTAAATTTCTCCCGCAAATCCAGATCATTAACTTTTGCTCGTACAACTGTTTCCCGATAAAATAAAGACAGCTATACGTGAAGTTTTTTTATACACTGTAAATCCAACCTTTCTTCTTTTTCTTCTCCTTCTTCTTCTTATTTTCCTTTATTTAACGTCGGTCTCTTTCCTTTATTTAACGTCGGTCTCTGTTCTGCAATCTAGTGCCAATCAATCCACAACAAATTGAGTTCGGAGGAGGTACATTTTAAGCCCATATTATATCGCTTTCGCCATCCATCTCGCGTGATGAAGCGCACCTGGCCGTCGAAACTTGGTGAATTGTTTGTTTCCAAGGCACATCAAAGCGAGCTGATCCGCGAGCAAGATCCGCTCTCTCGGGTTCATTCACTGCTCCTGGGAGTTAAAGGCAAGGCAAATACATTAATACATACTGCAAGAAATAAGACAATAAGTCTGTAACTTCATCTTCATTCCTTTATTTAACGTTGGTCTTTGTTCCGCAATCTAGTGCCAATCACCGATGGACATCGATTGCCATCCATTGACGGCAATTGAATGTGCAGGAAGGCAGCTTCCACACCTGCGTAGGATATCGCACCCATTCAACAACACACATGAGCCGGAACCAACGGCTTACTTCCCTTCCGAAGGAAGACGTGGCCAGAGATTTTTATGCCTCAGAAAAATCCCACCGACCTCGGCTGGGATTGAACCCAGACCCATTGGGGTGAGAAAGCAGTCACACTTACCACTACACCACCGGCGTCGGCAAATCCAACCTTTGAATATCCGAAATGATAGACCATGTACATCAACGCCAACAAGCAAAATGCAATTAATCCGACTGCAGCCATCTTCACCGCTTTATTTCCATTTCGACGGTATAGCGGCATTGCACTCGCCCCTTATGTAAATCAGCACCAATCCTACACAACACTTTGTTTTATTGCACAAATATAGAACTGTCCCGTCTGATCAAACCCAAATGTTTATTTTTATTTTTAACTGTTTGGCATATTTTAAATTGTCAACGATTATGGTTGTTCTTTTTTATATAATTCGACAATTTCCACTTTTTACCCAATCATCTGACAAATCGAAGTAAACAGTGGACATCGTAGATTTGACTAATAGCATCGTTAACAATTTGGTGAACTGGCAAAACGTTTAGGAAGACCAATATTTGAAATCAGGAATTTTGATCACACGGGACAGGTCTGTTGCAATAAAGTGTCCGTACGAAAAAATAGCAGTTCTCCGTTTTTCACACTTAAGTACACCAATAGGTATAACTTAATCCCGGTCCCGAATGTCTAAGTAGTCACTGATGGTCGGTGGTTCAAATGCGACTGATCTACTCGATCAGCGTGCGGTCGGTTCTATATTCATTCGACGGAGACGAATCGACAGCTTTGCATTGTTGTCACTAAAGGTATGGCTGAGGAAAAAAAAAACCTGAAGCGAAGCATTGCACTAGTGAAGTGTTGCGATTTTTGTCTCAACCGACAGTGATTGAATCTTTGCAATGATGAAAATATCCCTAAAGCTTTGAGAAAAATACGCTCAATTAGTTAGTCAAACACTGTATTCAAGTGATTATTGCTACTCAGGTTTGTATTACTCTGCTCATGGTTTTCTCTAGGTTTTTATTTAGTCAGAGGAGCATAGCGACGGGTAAGCAGAAAAAGCAAACCATCTGAAGGATGGTTCTAAAAGAAGCTTCTAAAGCTAGCTGATGCGGATGCACGCAAACAATCATTTCGTTACCATCGGATGGTAGCGAGAGCTCTACCAAATTGATTTTCTTGTGATTGCCGATCTTCGATTAATATTATTTAATTCTTGAATTTTAGATTTAGGAGCCCCGTATCACTTTTTTCACTTGTCCGTCACTACGCTCTTCCCAAAAGAAAAAAAAACTCCATTTTGGGTAGCAAACCTAAGTAGCTATGCACCCTGAATGATCGACTAGTTTAGCGTTTTTCAAAGGGTACATTCCCGTAAAAAGATGCATTTACCTTTTTGCAGAGAGGAATCGTAATCTTTCAATAACTGGTGGGTTTTTAACTGTCTTTCGGTAGTTGGTGACCCGTTTGCTGTCTTTCGGTAGTTCAGATAAGTTAGCCATAAGTTTTTAATTTCTTGTTAAAAAGTAAATTCGTTGAAAAACAGCTTCCCCAGTGGATTTCACTATGGGTGAAATTGTTAATTTCATGAAATCACTGGTTGCGGATTCCGTTCACATAGAAGCAATGCTGTTTTTTTTTTTATAAAGTTCAAGTCAGAAGAACGTCTTGGAAGATTTAATTGTCCATTATGTGAATGAAAAGACAGCGGATGTCACATGCGGTGATGACTACTTGCAATAAGTTTCCAGGTCCCTTGTCCCTAACTTGCTGCCAATGAGCACCTCCTACAGGCAAATAATATCAGTAAGTGAAAGAAACGCCTTATTGTAAACCTTTCCACGCTCGGCATTGATGGCCTGCATAGAAGGGTGACCCAAAATAGCATTTTGTCAGGCAACCTGGGGGCTCACCCTCCAAATAATAGCTTATACCCCGTACAGACTATGGCTTATATCATGTAATATAGGGGGGCGACCCCGGTGTAGTGGTTAGCATCCATACCACTCACGCCAAAGTCACGAGTTCAAATCTCACCCCCGGACAAGTCACGAATGACCCAAGAGTGTTAAAGTGACTATAATTAAAAAAAAAAAAATAGGCTATCTTGCAATGAGCACTCATACATCTAGTTTTCACTGGAAATCCTATGTATGAGTGCTCATTGCAAGATAGCCTATATTACATGATATCAGCTATAGTCTGAACGTACTCTTATACCCTGCACAGACTATGGCTTATATCATGGATTTTACATAGGATTTCCAGTGAAAACTAGATGTATGAGTGCTCATTGCAAGACAGCCTCTATTACATGATATAACCCAACAAACATTGCATGCAGAATAAGAGCTTATTCAGGCAAAAATATGCTTCTTCAGCTAAAAAATGGCTTATTCAGCCATTATTCAGCTCAAATTGTTTGTTGGGAAGCCATAGTCTGTACGCGGTATGGTATTAGCATAGAGGTAACTTTGTTGTTGTTGGTATTAGGGTGTCAGAAATAAAGTTTCGTAAGACGGCAACTCTGGGAAATGTTCCTTCGAGTTGCTAATTTGAGTTTTATGAAAAAAGTTTCATTTCATAGCTAATATAAAAAAAAAAATGTAATTCTTTCCAATCTAGTGGGTTAGTTCAAATTTTTTACAAATTCTTTAGGGTCCAAACTATAAGAAAAAAATTGTCACCTGTTGTTTTGAGTCTAATTTGGGTATTACAATTTTCTTAATTCTCTAAAACAATATTTTTTGGGTACTCAATGGCATTTAATCATTGAAAGAGGGGTTCAAACATACCGCTAGTATCAATCTGATAGAAAAGATGCGAAATTTCATCACGAACATCTTTGCCGAAAACAGTTTGGTCCTATCTTAAAACATCGCTGAGATATTCACGATTTACTGAAGGAATAGGAAAATACATTTTTCCAAGTTTTTATAATTTTTCATATATTTACAGCTAACATCAACATAATAATCCTAATTATTATTTGTAGCTGATACATAATTGATTACAGAGGTTTTAATACTATTATTTTGAGGTTTTCTGTTCTTATCAACGGCCAATATTACTTGATGTTTTTCATTATCATTATTTGGACGATACCCGTTTAATTCTCCTGTCGATCCTACACTCAAACAAGGACTATAGTTGGGAATACTATTTTGCAGAAAACACTTATTTTCAATATAACAACGCTTAATGCTGTTAAATCTACTATGACTTCAGTATGGTTGAAAACGAATGTTGACAAATGTTCTATGATTCTGACAAAACTACTACCGTTGGAAACTAACGATTTTAAATTGGCTCACTACTTGACTAGCCTATTGGTCCCAAGTAAATCGATTAACGTATCCCATTCTACTCGAAATTCTAGTACTACACTATGTTTGTTTTTATTTGCTATGAAAGTTTGACAGATAAAATGAGGGGTTCGTGGATTTTCCTATGTTTCGAGGGGTGCATCGATTAGCTTGGGACCGAAAAGAGTACCACAGCTGAACCAAAAAGTTGAGCACGTTTCTTTGGGCTCTTCGGGTCTTAGAGTTATCTGGCAGCTGCGATGTGAGTTCTCTACAGGTGTGGAGAAAGGAAACTAGGAAACTGCAAAATCAAACCTATAATAAGCACAGCAGGCACACATGATAAACTAGTATTTTCTCGTTCTTCGAAGCTACTGGTACTCTGGTACTGTGCGAACAATGACCCCGAAACTCAAGTTGACGTCAGATCCATTAACATCTATTGCAAGCTCGATTGCAAGAAGAAATTTGTCAAGAAACCATCTACCATCCGAATCAGAAATCATAGGTTATTTCCGGTTCTATCGTGAAAATGAGAAACAGTCGATCGGTAAGAGTGTCCAAATCGTTGCTACCGAAGTTGTTACTATCTGAAATCACGCCGGCCTCCTACATCAACACAAGCGGAATGTGGTTAGACGTATTTCTAAGCTTCTGGTAGCTTGGAAACGCACAACACAAGATTAAAATTTGCAACACTCGAAAGCGGTGCAAATGCGGAATGTGTTCAAAATGTGAAAACTTTCTTCAACATTGGACTATCCCAAATCGAACAGCATCTGAAGAACGATACTGTTCGTGCAGAGTTTTGGAGGCAGCAGATGTCAATTAGAACACCGATCAAAATCCCAGCATGTTGAGCAAGTTTAGAAAATTGCAAACAGCGTGATTTAACGACACCTAAGAAAATTGGCAAAGTGGCAGAGAACAACCTCAATCATGAAGCGCGAATTACCTGGCCAAGGATCCGGAAACCAACGCCGTAGCAGAAGGATAAAATTACTGAACAACGCTGTCGTCGAGAACCTAGATCGAAATTGTGTATCAAATCGTGGAGCAGTTGGAATACTTGCGGCAGCAGCAGTTGTAGCACCGACGAAGTTGTAGTTGGGGCCGATCCTCAGACATTAAGTTTGAGTAGATCAACAAAGGACGGAAGGTAAATAAGTAAGGCTTCGAAGAATTTTTTAAAATCTTATTTTCATTATTGATAACTTTTTCTTCTCAAGGCCCGCGCAAATTTCTGAAAATATCAAAAATGCTTTCCCGAAGGACAAAGCTTTGGTTGTTCATTTTGATTCGAAGCAAATGATATACAAGCGAAGGAAAACTGAAAAACTAGCAATCGTTGCCACAGGGATGGATTTTGATGAACAGTAGCATTTTTCTTAAATCTGGAACAGGAAAATCATTAGCTGACGCTGTATTTGCAAGCATGCAATCCAGGGATTTGGACAAAATCGTAATAGGAAAATGTTACGATACCACTCGTGTCAATTCAGGCGAAAAAACCGGAGCCTCGGTCATACTTGACAGTTTGCTGAAGAACAAAATGGCTGGACTTACCATGTAGACACCACATTTACGAGTTGGTTCTCATGGCAGCGTACAATGCATGTTTCAAACAAGCAACATCGTCACCGGATAACAGTTTATCAAACTATTTCGAGACGAGTGGGACAAGATGGATACAAGCAACTACTCCGGGTTTCCTGAAGTTACAGAAGCCGGCGCCGGTGGTGTAGTGGTAAGCGTGACTGCTTTCTCACATCCCAATGGGTCTGGGTTCAATCCCAGCCGAGGTCGGTTGGATTTTTCTGAAGCATAAAAATCTCTGGTCACGTCTTCCTTCGGAAGGGAAGTAAAGCCGTTGGTCCCGGCCCATGTGTGTTTGAATGGGTGCGATATCCTACGGAGGTGTGGAAGCTGCCTTCTTACTTACTTACTTAAGGGTCCTGTGCACCACCAGCGGTGCAAAGGGCCAACGTGAAAGACTTCCATCCTGGGCGGCTGCTCGCTTTTGCCTTGACCTGGGCCCAGGTCAGATTTCTATCGACTTGCTTAATTTCCTTATTGAGGCTCCGCCGCCATGAGTCCCTGGGTGTGCCTCTACTGCGATGTCCTGCTGGATTCCAATCCAGCGCTTGCTTGTAGATTTCGTTTCCGCCCCGTCGAATGATGACATCGACGATGGAGCTCGGCATTCGAGATCCAGTTGTGAGGCCACCAGGCACGAATTATATACCGCAGGCATCGGTTGATGAAGACCTGCAGCTTTTGAGTGTTCTCCGCTGATACACACCAAGTCTCGCTGGCGTATAACAACACAGATTTCACGTTCGAGTTGAAAATTCGGATTTTGGTGCGTTGACTTATCTGGTTGGATCTCCATACGTTTCGTAAACTCGCAAAGGCAGCCCTACCCGAGCAAAGTTAGAGATCAAATTGAAATCAGAATTTGCTGTTATGATGTAAGTTATTTTGAATACTCTATTTGATCTCATTTTGGTTGACTTAACGGTTAACACATCAAAAATAAGAGCTAAATTTTACACTGTTGAATCAAACGGAAAACTAATCCTGCTTTCAATGAAATCAATTTGATTACTGATTTTGCATTCATAATGTTTGACTGAATACCGGCCCGGCGTAAATGGTTAGCATCCAAGCTTCTCACGCTGAAAGACTTGAGCTCAAATGTCACCTCGGGCTGGCTACGAATGACCTAAAATGTGTTAAACAAAACAAATAAACAATAATCGTTAGTTCAACGACAGATGAGCTTAAATTAAATTTTAAACAAGACGTTAACAGCAGAACTTCAAGTTAAGTTGCTTTCATTTAAAATGTCTTGACTGCATAATGGAAGCACAATATGATATCAGACTAATGTCGTGACAATTGTAATCAAAATGAGTATTCATTATGATAGGAACTGCAAACTTTCATATCGATTTGCTTTCATTTTGTTAACCGACTTTGCTCGGGTAGCCTTCTTGATTCGTGCACCTATGTCGCTCTTGGTCCCGCCGTCCGACGCTATTTGGCTGCCAAGATATTGGAAACTTTCGACCTTCTCCACTGCTTGCCCCACTACCGTAAAGTTGGAAGGGTTGCCCGTGTTGATATCCAACGATTTGGTCTTGTTGACGTTGATGGTGAGACCCGCCGCAGAGGAGCGTTCGGCTAGGTCATTGAGCTTACTCTGCATATCAGAGCGCCGTTGTGCTAGTAGAGCAACATCATCAGCCAAATCGAAGTCGTTGAGATGCTCCATGGTGATAGGCTGCCAAAGCAGCCCACGGTTCGGCACACGGTCAATTGCACCTACCATGATCTCGTCGATTACGATGAGAAACAGTAGCGGTGATAGTATACATCCTTGTCTCACACCAGCGACTACCCGGATAGGGTCGGACAAGGCTCCGTTATGCAGAACTCTGCACGTGAAAGCCTCATACTGCGCTTCGATGAGGTTGATGATTTTATCCGTGACTCCCTTGCGTCTCAGGGCGCCCCACAGATTCTCGTGATTGAGACGGTCGAAAGCTTTTTCGTAGTCAATGAATACCAAATAAAGGGACTCGTACTGTTTGTAGTACGGATATACTTGACAGGGTGGTATAAAGCGCCATCATCGACGTCTGCTCCATCAAACGATTTGAAATTCGTTGAAAGTTTAAGGAGCTACGATCATGAGGAAATCAGCCAAAAAAAGTCACTTGTGACTTGTCAGAAATTAATATTTGCCTGGCATTTTTTTTTATGATACGGTCGATACTAGGGGTAAGACAGCTTTTGATAATGAGTCATACTGGAGTAAATTTTGAGTAACTCTGAGTAACTCGAGTTGCTAAATATTCAATGCACGGTGACATAGTAACCTGTTTGTTTTGTGTGTATTCCACGATTGTCAAGCAAAGACGTTTGACGAGGAAAATCTACGTCCATCATTCAACAACATTATATACCGGATATCCATCCACAAAACCTGTGTCGTAGCATGCAAATCTGTGAATGCTTATTATTGGTTGACAATAATAATTATTGGATTTTCAAGTGAACATGGAGTTGTACCATAATTTAACGTCTTGATGCACATGGTAGGCATTCCATTGTGAACATTTTGGCAGATTGCATACCCACCAACAAGATTAAAAATGTTTCAGTGCCCCATAAAAGTTTCACTTCACGTGGCATCGAAGACTACGGCTTTGTGATTCCAGGACTGTATTTCCCCACGAATGAAAACCGAAGTTTTTGATGGTAGTAGTAGTACTTTTTGTCTTCCTTCGCATCGTGTTTTACTCGTGACTGTGAGGAGTTGTAGTTTTCCATGGATTGATGGAAAGATCATTGTCTAGTCACATATATAAATTAACTGCTCTGTCAGAATAATTAAATCTAGAATTCGCAACTAATTTTAACTTATTTATATAAGATGCAGAAATTAACAATTGAAATAAAGGGTGATCGGTCAAAATTTGGTCAAGGGAAAACGCGTGTAAATCGGTGAAATCGTTTATTTAAAAAATCAAATTAAATTTCTTTTTCAAGTTCAATTAGTATAAAATTCAGGAAAAATATTCAGTTAGGCTTCCGCTTTTCCAAATCCGAATTGCCGGGCCTTACACTTGACCCCTGCCATCAGATTTTGTACAGCCACCTTGTCCACCTTCTTCGCCGCAGAAAGCCTTGAACTGCTGCTCGCCCTTAGCAGTTTTTTTGGTCTTCTTTAGGTTCCGCTTGACAATAGCCCAGTATTTCTCAATTGGGCGGAGCTCTGGCGTGTTGGGAGGGTTCTTGTCCTTGGGAACCACCTGCACGTTGTTGGCGGCGTACCACTCCATGGCCTTTTTACCGTAATGGCAAGATGCCAAATCCGGCCAAAACAGTACGGAACAACCGTGTTTCTTCAGGAAAGGCAGCAGACGTTTATTCAAACACTCTTTCACGTAAATTTCTTGGTTGACAGTCCCGGAAGCTATGAAAATGCTGCTTTTCAAGCCACAGGTACAGATGGCTTGCCAAACCAGATATTTCTTTGCGAACTTTGACAGTTTCATGTGCTTGAAAACATCTGCTACCTTTCCCCTTCCTTTTGCCGTATAAAACTCCTGTCCCGGAAGCTGAAAATAAGGAAATTGACGAAAATTTTATTCAGTCTCGAAGTAGTACCAATAGACTGAGTGAATCCAATCTTTACTTTTCTCAAATTCGGGAATTTTTCCCTGGAAAATCCTGAGGCAAATTTACTCATCGCTGAGTTCCTGCACTTTTGGCGATTATGAGTGAACTAAACTCAAATTTGGATCGTTCTCATTCTCCGTGTAGGGTCGACATCAAAGTAGAAGTGAACCCTACACGACAGTTTGTATTGACAATAATCGTATTGTCAATACATTTTATACTGATGTCAATACATCGGTATTGACAATATTTCTGTATTCACATCATCAATATTATTGTCAATACTTGTAAGTATTGACAATATTTCTTACCGTGTGGGGTTCGCTAAAGAGGAAAATGCTCAAAAACTGTTCAAAACAAAGTGACGGCAAAAACATAACAGGAGTGAAAAATTTCAATCCTAAACGGAGATAACCAGGTTTTGTGAGCAACAAGTCCCTCCAATTTTTCAAGATTGTTGCCACAAATTTTCGATTGAAGTGATTGTTTACAAAATCAGATACGTCAATTTTAATAGTTACGCTTGAATTATGCATAGTTTCATGCAAATCGTAGAAGGTCTCATTAGAACGATTCGATTCGTCATTTGGCGTGGAACGGCACAAATGCGAACGTGAGAGATCTCTAAAATCGGAACTTACAGATTTGGGTGTAGACTTTACATCATACACGAAGTACGCATATCTGCCATGGACAAAAAGTTGATCAAAGTAGACATTGTTCTTCTAAGTTTTAAGAGCCGTATTTATTTCCTGCCGCAAAAACTTTTTCATATACCAAAACAAACACAGGAATTCTTTTAATTTCAATCTTTCAGCACCATTTTATGCATCGCTTTGCCTTTGACGCCCAATCCAGTCACTTTGAACAGCGCTCCGGCTGGTGGTTCTTGATTGGCAGTGTGAGCCGTCGTAACAAACAGTTCGTCCATCTGCGGTCCACCGAAGGCTGCCGATGTAACCTGTTTGGCCGGAATGGAAATCTCCAGTTCGATTTTCTTCGTTCTGAAAACAAAACATATTTAGCAAACAATCTAACATACATTTTGAATGTTTCGTCATACTTTGGGTTAATCTTCATCAGCTTGGAACCACCCCACGTGGCGACATACAAGTTTCCATCCACGTCGTCCGTCATCCCATCGCCGACGAAACCTGGATTTTTCCCATCAACTCGCAGGTCGTAAAGGACGGTTTCATTTTGCAAATCTCCATTCTCCAGGACGTCAAATTCTTTGATGTCCAAAGCAGCCGAATCGATGTAGTAAAATTTGTTGGTCTTCTCGTTCCACGTTAAGCCGTTGGAGATACTGACGCCTCCCTTCAAGACGTGGAACTCTCCGCCAGTCTTGCCATCGAAACGGTACAGTTTACCTTCCTTCTGCTGGAACATGTCACCCATCGTTTCCAGTTGCATGGTTCCGGCGTAGAGTCGACCCTTGGGATCCACCTTGCCATCGTTGAAGCGCACGTGCTTCTGTGATTCGCCCAAGTCGTACAAGGTCTTCACGAGGGCCCCCTTCTCCGAACGACCATCCCAACTGACTAGTACAATCTTGTTACCCGCTCCCAGGACGTACTGGCTGGGCTTTCCCTGAACTAGGATGATTGGGGAAATCGGATCAACGCCATCTGTTTGGTGGAAACTATGGTTAGAGCAATTTTACTTTGATTTAGAAAATGCTTGACCGCTTTACCAATTTTGGCGCTGTAGGTTTTGTTCTCGCCGTAGTCGTACCGAAGGATGGCCGCTCCATTGATGTCCACGTAATAGAGGCTCTGGCTGTCTGCATCCCATACCGGACCCTCTCCGAGGTGGGAAAGAGGGCTTGGAAGCTGCTGAACACTGTATTCTGCTGCCATCTAAAGGAAGTGTGTGTGTGTAAAATTTGCCAAGGATAAGTAACGAAGGTAGTGTAATTAAAAGGAAATTATTGCACATTTTGCATCAAAGTAGAGTCCGGCGTAGAAAATAATCCAACAGATTTCAACAATAAAAATGAATAATTTTCAAAGTTCTATCACCATTAGAATGTCAATAGCACTATGTTGCACACATAGAAAAAAATCATGTAAATGCAGGTGCTCTGAGACTGACATATACGAGCGTCAATTTTGACATAACATTAAGTCATAACAGACGCAAAATTCAGCTTAATCGAACGTACTAACGAACTTTTCAGTCTCGGAGCATTTATTATTAAATGACATGTTTGTTTACGTCTCATTCTTTATGTGAAAGATTGGTTTCCGTTACGTGTAAAATTAGTTATTTCTAAGTGTGTAGGGGGCAATGAACCAAGTTTGTGCTAGAATTTGGCCATTTTGAATTGCGTCTATTTTTTTAACTGTTCTGAAATGGGCACAATAGACACTTCAAAATTGACAAAATTGTAGTTGTAGAGAAACATAATGTTCATTTGAAAAAATTATCAAATTAGGTCATCAAATCAAAATTCAAATGGTGATCTAGTATTGTCCTCAAAGCTCCAATAAAATTTAGCTTAGAATTAACTTTGGAAAAAATGCTAGAATTTTTTTTTTCATAATCACCTTGAAATTCTATATAGATTTTTTTAGGAATACATTCCAGGATTCCCTTCGTTTACTGCAGAATGCTCATTGATTTAATGTCATAGGAAAGTTGCTTGACAGAAACTTTTTTGCCACCTCCTTAACACAGCCCTGGGCAGGAACACTTCATATAAACTACACTCCCATTCCACACCAACCACATTCTTCAGACAATAAATCATTATGACCTTCATCAGATTTAATTGAATGAAAGTGCACTGAAGGTTCAATATAGTTTCCGCAACAGCTTTTATTAGCATAACATCTTTCACCCGCTATTTGTTTCTTATCTCGCAAAATTAATAACCTTCGATACCTGTCGGAGATAACCGTCCACAATTATTGTTGTTTGATCTCTAAAAGCCCACCAACTTACACTGCCTATCAGGGCCAACAAACACGATGCAACTGATACGACCGCAGTCGTCGTCATCGTCGCCATCGTCGCTGTAGTGATGATGTACAGGGATGGCACACAAACCGGGTATCGTGGTTGATTGTACACAAACACAAACGGGGTCGGTAAGCGAAAATCGCTAATTAAAAAAAAAATGCCAAGCGCTCTTGGATTGTTTGCAAACAGATGTGAGATTCTGTGAGCACGGTCCACGTGTTCGTCGCTGGCTGCCGGCCGAAACTAGACTGATCTACTCTATCAGCATGCGATCGGTAGTGCCCCTATATACATACATATAGCTCAGGCGAGAGAAGTTGATTTGTAGATTCAACCTTGACTCAATAGCTTAGCTGTATAGAAGCATTGATTGGTGGGTAGGTGGTGGATCAGTGCGATCTTGTGCAGAAAAACTACTTGGCGTTTTCGCGTGCAATGAACGGTGATCAATGAGAAGCGCAGCAACCGGTACGATCTGAGGTCGTTACACTTCTTGGGATAGCGGGGACTTTGAGGTTTTCCAATTGGTGGTTGACAATAATGTTCTACCAAAGCAAGGTTTAGGTTAAGGTTTTGCTCTAGTTCTTATAATGTGACTAGTACGACAATGTATTTTTCACGCATATCTTGAAAGCGAGCTAGAAGCAGTGCACTGTGGTCCGAAAAGAAAAAGTTAGAGGCAGATGAATGTAAATGAATGCTTGAAATGACTGTAAATGATTTGCCATGCCTGCTCAGAACTACCTTGGGATTCACCATAGAAGACACTTGAAGTACTTTCAATTAATTGTATTTATAATTTTCCTCATAATGCTCTTGGGATTCTAGGCAAAACTCCCATGGAGCTCTGTCTCTGAAATTCTTCCTAAAATTCTCATAATTCTTATTCAATTTTCCTTAAGCGTTTTTCATAAATTCCCGTAAAACCATGCTTCGATCAGACGTGGAATTTATCCTTATGCTCTTGGAATGCTCCTAGAATTCTCTTCAGTATTATTTTGGAATTCTTCTCCTTTCCTTTATTTAACGTCGGTCTCTGTTCCGCAATCTAGTGCCAATCACCGCCGGTAATCGAATTTGCAAGATGGCAGCTTCCACACCTGGGTAGGATATCGCACCCATTCAAATACACATGGGCCGGGACCAACGGCTTTACTTCCCTTCCGAAGGAAGACGTGATCAGAGATGTTTATGCCTCCTTATGGGGTGAGCAAGCAGTCACGCTTACCACAACACCACCGGAGCCAGCGCATTCTTTTGGAATTCTCCTCAGAACTACATTAGAATAACCCATAGAATTCATTTGATGCTATTTTCGCATATTCCTTAGATTTTTTTTCACCAGAAATCAGTAGGCTCTCAGACAGATGGAAAATTTTTAAAATAAACCTGTTATTGCACCAGACACATTTCTGACGACAGACAAGGAATCAATTTTGACGGACACCTTCTAGAAAAATTGTTTGATCAACAACAGAGGGATTTTAGAACATCTTAATTTTAAGTGCCAAATTTCAGTTAAAATTTACCAAATGAATCACAGCCTCCAAACTGCTTTGAAAGCAATCCTTAGATTTTCCTGAAACTGCTTTTATAAATCTTTATTTGAATACTCTTCAGAATTCCTTTAGATTTTTGCCTTGAATTCCGTAGAAACGCGTCTATTGTTTTTAAATAAATTCTCATTGAATGAATATTCCTTCTCTAAGTATGCAGTATTTTATTTGGTAAACTTTCTCTTAAATTTTACTGATGGAAATTTTTCAAGGGACCCTGCTATTCCACGTTACTTATGGCTGACAGACAAGGAATTGATTAGAACAAATAACTAGTCGAAATCGGTCGATGAACAACAGAGGAAGTATCGAACATTTTAATTAATTTTCTTGGAAGAGCCAATGTTAAGTAAAAATCTTGGTAAAAATTCACCAAATGGAAGATAGCCTGAGGCCGTGTTCTATTTAGTGAATTTTCACGTAAATTTAACACTTCAAAAATGAATTAAAACGTTTGAAAATCCCTCTGTTTTTTTATCGTAAGATTTTTGAAAAGATGTTTTTCAAAATTGATTCCTTGTCTGGTGGAATAACAGGTTTATTTGACAACCCAAGTAACATTGCAAGTTTTATTGAGGTCTTAAAGCACTCTACAAATCTAAATCATGGTCTAAAGAACCCTCTTCTTCTTCTTCCTTTTCTTTTTCTTTTTCTTCTTCTTCTTCTTCTTCTTCTTCGCATTTCAAGCTTATTGCATATCGCACATTAGCTTATTGCGTGCTCTCAACTTAGTGTTCTAGATGCACTTTCACAGTTATTAATTGAGAGCTTTCGATGCCTGTACCATTTTTGCATTGGTATAATTGTGTGGCAAGTCCAATCATACTTCTATGCCCAGGGAAGTCGAGAAAATTTCCAATCCAAAAAATTTCCAGACCGGACCGATAATCGAACCCAGCCACCTCCAGCATGGTCTTGCTTTGTAGCTGCGCCTTTACCGACTGAGCTAAGGGAGGCCCCAAGAAAGAACCCTCATAAAATCCAAATTGTTAATTGAGAATTTTCCATCTGTCAAATTTAAGTGAAAATTCACCAAATGGAACACAGCCTGAGAAAATTGAAAATTTCACAATAATTTTGATGTTTTGAAATCTGGGATCATAGAAAATTTTCAAAATCTGACATCTGAATCTTCATTTTAGAATCTGGGATTATTTTCCATGCTTGGATTATTTGTTTCGAAGTCCTTAATTTCGATACTGATGATGATGATAGTGGTCTAATGCTCATTGTAGCACGTAAACTAGTCCTATAGCGGTGGACTCTTCTCACTGTAGAACTTGAGAAAGCTCAATAACCTCTTATTGTCAACAGCAAATCGCTGTATAAAGGGCCAAAAACGAATGGATGGATTGATAGGCAATTCGCCTATTCACTTCCTTGGGACAGTTAAGAATCTCCTTGCAACAACTTGATCAAGCAATTGGTCAGAAAACGAGCCATCCAACAGGAAGATGCCCCAATGAATGGGGAAAAGAGCCCGCCCTTTATCCACGAAATGTTAGCAACAGGGAGTTTACATCTTCACTCTCCCCATACAAATCGCTTCAAATGGGTGCCTTAATGGTCCCTCGTCATCCCGAATTTTTTGATACATTTGATTTTTGATATATTGTAATATGTAATATAATAATCAGATAATCAGAAGCATAACGATTACAAAAATATGCGAGTCGATTGAAATTTGCCGAAAATAAATGAGGGCTAAGTTGATTCTCAACATAGAAGCATAGATGCATAGGTGAAGGATAAGAGAAAGGAGAGTCTTTCGAGGTCCTGAATCTCGAAACCATTTCTATTTTTTTTTCGTTATTTAGAATGAGAACTAATGAAACAACAGATTTTCATTTATTTTTTAAGTCCCACCGTTTTGCCAAATTTTTCAATGTCCAGCCGAATAGGCCATTTACTCCAAAACCGATGATAATATACCGTTCTTATGCTTTGAAAACATTCCAGGATTCTGTAAGTTAGCATAATATAAAATACCTATCAGAGACTTTGAAAAGCTTTCTTAGTTCTTAGAAATAAAAAAAAATCGTTGCAGGGGTTGGATCAAGATTCAGAAAGTTGTGAAATTATCATCATCCTGGAAATTTGACTTTCGATGGAATTAGTTAATCTTTCAATTTTTTTCGAACCTCTTAACGCAATCCCTTTATAAAGAGCTTTTTGCTTGCCAGTATGAACGGTAGTGCGGTTCTAGATTCGTCTGGAGTTCGAGGCAGAATCGCCTTGTCCCTCAACATTTTTCAGGTCTTGACTTGAATTGCAACATTTTTGCCCGTGCACAATGGTCCGCATCAGGGATGCCAGAAGGTTTTCGAAAAAGTCTTCAACAAGATCGAAAACATGTCTTCATATGTCTTTAAATTGATGACATTATTCGTAATCAACTAATTCCCTTTAAGAAGAGCTTCTTGAGTGTGTTGATTTATTTCCTTTTAATTCCGTTATAATTGCTCATCCATCTTTTGACCTTGGTGTTGAGTACTTTTCAGTAGTAGACGAAATACGCGTATCTGTCAAAAGATAAGCAATTATAATGGAATTGAAAGGAAATAAATCAACACATTTATTTTATTTCATTTCAATTCCGTTATAATTGCTTATCTTTTGACAGATACGCGTATTTCGTCTACTACTGAAAAAAGTACTCAACACCAAAGTCAAAAGATGGATGAGCAATTATAACGAAATTAAAAAGAAATAAATCAACACACTCAAGAAGCTCTCTTAAAGGGAATTAGTTGATTACGAATAATGTCATCAATTTAAAGACATATGAAGACATGTTTTCGATCTTGTTGAAGACTTATTCGAAAACCTTCTGGCATCCCTGATGTGGACCAATGTGGACGGGCAAAAATGTTGCAATTCAAGTCAAGACTTGAAAAATGTTCTGGGACAAGTCGATTCTGTCTCGAACTCCAGATGAATCTAGAACCGCACTTCCGTTCATACTGGCGACATCGCTCTAATGAGACAAATAAACCGTTCCTGCAAGCTCATCCCCTTATCCTATCCTTCGAAAATGTACCCCTCTAACCTCGGGCTAGCCTCGAGTATTCGGCACAACTCCTACTAGACATAGACTTAAGTGAATTTTGTTACAAACAATGAACAATGAATTATTGGCTCCGTAAAGCTAACGTGATTGAGTAATCCATTCATTTATGCGGTGGGTAGTAACGTCCACCCACCGCTATTTTTCGGCTGTCCTTCAACCAATTGCGCTGATTTTCTGTAGATAACAAGAGTATGGTTGACACTAATCATGTCTCCGCAGCAGCTGAAGCGGCAACCCTGCCGAATGTAAAGGCCCTGCGGGAATGAGTATGCGCACCATTTTTGGGATAGTTCTACCACCGACAAACCGACATGAATGACCATTGCAAAAACAATAAAATTTCTGACCAAAGCACACTACTGACATCTGGCTCCGTGTTCGCGGGAAATATTTAGCTACGCCATTAACCCGCATGCAAAAGTTATGAATTGGTTCGTGTCTGATCCATCCCGACCAACCGTTCGTGAAACTTCTTCAAAGTTCTTTAAACAGAAATAAAGATTTATGTCGCCAATTCTTTACTTTAAATTTTCTATGATTTCGATGTACACATTTAAAAATCTTTATTGATCGATACTTACAGTTAAGATTATTTCTTCATCGGTCATATCATCACCGACAACCGACAATCCATAACGGACGATTAAAATGAGCAGCGATCCCATCTGTCAAAACCATAGAAATGTTTTATCTAGATAAAAATAATTTGTCTGAAATATATTAGACACGAACCAACTCATAAATTTTGTACGCGTGTTCGTGGCTAGGATAAATATTTTCGCGAACACGGCGACAGATGTCAGTTTTTTGCTTTGATCAGAAATGTCTTTGTAATTTGTATGATCATTCATGTCGGTTTGTCGGTGATATGATAGTAATCTATAAAGGTGCCATACTAAATTTCTTTTAATTTCGATATGTCGCATGGACTTTAGTATTCTTTACAAACAGGCATGGAAAATCATTTGCATTCATTTCATACATTCATTTACATTCATTTGCCTCTAACTTTTTTCATGAACAACATTCCGCAAAGTAATGCATTGAGTTTTTGTAGGTTTTGTTATTAGCTACAACTTTTGCTCATAACTTAAATCTGTATCTCTTATGCATCATGAACTAGAGCGGGCAGAAATTGTTACTGATTTGAATTATGAGCAAAAGTTGTAGTTTATAACAAAACCTACAAAAGCTCCATACATCATTTTGCGGAATGCTGTTGATGAAAAAAGTTAGAAGCTAATGAATGTAAATGAATGTATGAAATGAATGCAAATGATTTTCCATGCCTGTTTACAAATATTCATCAATAAATATTTAAATACTGATATCATCGTAACTTTGAACTTTGACAAAGAACAACAAATATTGCCATCGATGCACATTTATAATCTCCTTGTTATCGATTTGCATCGCTGGTTAAAGAGATTTCGAGACACACCAGGTGACAGATGGCAATGTTTATATTATTTATCGACATATTCGGCATTTCATCGGAAGAAGCAATCTGCCGGTAAATGAACGAGAAGACCGATGGCCGCGACGCAGCAAATGTTTCCCATTGTAGTTCTTCAAGTTTACGTCTATATATTTAATAACCCGTGAAAGCATGCGTGGTGGGATTCTTGGCATTTGGAACCCAATGAGGAAAATTGATACTTTTTGACCTCTATTACACCTACATGGCTGACTGGTTGATGGTTATGACAAATAAATATTGAATTCATGTATGAAAAGATTTACAGAAATTTCAATACACCACATACTAGAGTGTGTTTGCCTGTCGTTTATAAGCTCATCAACAGCTGCCGTGGACCCGAGGATTAGCAACCAACAACGAAATCAAATACACCCCAGATGGCATGGGATCGAAACTAGAAATTATGCAGATTAAAAATCACAAATAAAATCAGCAGTTGTGTATCGCTATATCGGCAATGAATATATTCAACATACAACAGAAATCGATATTTTGATCTGGCAACACACTCGATATTTTAACATTGGTAACGATTGGTAGCAATATTTGGAGAAAGATCTTTATAAACGATTCACGAGAAGACTTTTAGCATCTTTACAATTATTCATGAAATGGTAACGACCGCTATCGATTTTTCTTATGAATGGCTTTGAAGATCGATGTATAGAAAATTAAAGAAAATTAATGAAATGGTTGGTCGGGATTCTGGATGAATTATTTTTCTCATTTGTGGCACAGACCTAACTGGTCGATATTTGTAAATTATTTTTATCTACATAAAAAATCCTATGGTTTTGACAGTTCGGATCACTGCATATTTAACAAGGGGGGGAGGTGGCTGTCAAATACGAACAATCGTCGCCTACCTCGCATAACTGGTTCCAAACGTAAACAAGCCATAAGAAACCTACAGGGTTTGTTTACGTTTGGAACCAATTTCATACAAGAATGATCAGTAGGCTGATTTGACAGCACGTCCCACCCCAGATATTTAAATCGGCCGTTGACGATTTTCGGGCATAAGTCTGAATTAAGTGTCATGTCGGTTTGTCGGTGGTTCTACCATTTGTATTATTGTTCATGTATGGTATTTTTGTTATTAGGGAAAGTAAACTATTTTTATTCATATGACCTAAACGCCATTGAAATATTACGTAAAGCGGAAGGGGGTAGGAAGTTTGCTCAAAATTAGAGGTGCCAACGAGACGAATGGCACGCAATACAAAGAACCGGTGCGTTGAAGTTAAAATGCAATCGAAAGTACTTAAAGAAATTAAAGCGTTTTGAAGTAGTACTGATGGTAATTAAAATTATCTATCCGTAATTGATGCAATTAAAAGTATTGAAAATGTAATTAATGTACTTTAATTACGAAATTTCAACTGTAATTATTGGAGTTAAAAAGTAGTTAATGTTCTACATTGTGTAATTAATGTAATTAAAGCAGTAGTTAATTACAGCCGTTGCCTGCGTTGGAGTTAAAGGTTATTGCGTGCCCCTAGCAACGAGATCTATGCAGCATTCTATGCTCGGTAATAGCGTAATAGCACAAACGATCTAGATAAAAATAATTTATCCAGAATAGATCAGACACGAACCAGTTCATCACTTTTACATACGGGTTCATGGCTTAGCTTCCACGTCAATCCTTCGGCATGCAAAATTCTACAAACAGACGATCCACTTATTTTGATCTGGAATCGTCGGTAGAAAAGATCACAGCATTCCTCAAGGTAGAGAATTGGTTTCTGATAATAGAGCTCCAAAATCCATTGTCGATAACGTACACTGAATTTCTTGAACACTTGCTCCCGCTGCTTAGAAGAAAGCAATCCATTTTCTCTGTATGAAGTTATCCAGCCACTGATCGTTGTTTTACTTTAACGGTAGATAATGGCAAGCTTGGCTCTGGTTAGCCCGAGAAAATAGTAGCCATAAAGGCAATGGTACTTAGTATTCGTGCTGGCTCTTTTATTTCCAACATTTTGAAGAATTACGTATTGGCCATGTTCCACAAAACCGACGAAAGACGAAAAGACAATGAAAAGCAAACCAAATTACATATGACGTGATGACAGACGCGTGTCAAAAATTGACAGATAGCACTTCTTGTCACACTTTTGCATAGTTACACTTTCAAACTGTGCAGTCCATTTGAGGGAAAAGTGCGCAATAAAAATTGCATTTTTTGTATTAGGTACGAAATATCTTAATAGACCCTAAATAATCGTACTACATAGGTTCGACTGTGCTTTTCGAAAAGACCTTTTCTGTTCCACCTGTCATCCCGTTCCTTTTTTTTATTTTCAGTCAGAGCTGTCAATCTCTCCCTTGATGCTTGTCTCGCACGTTTTTGTTTTCATTCCGCGTTCGCCTTGAGCACATGTTTTTCGGTCGTGGGTTCGATTCGTCCGAATAAAAATAATTATTGGTGAAAATTCGTTTGAAAATTGGCTCCCGGATAGTAAATAACACTCGTGCTTCATCATGGGAAAGAAAGCAAAAGTAGGAAAGGACCGGAAGGATAAGTTCTACAAATTAGCCAAGGAAACCGGTGAGTAAACATTTTCCGCCTACACTGCTACTGTTCGGGCCGGTACTAATTTCGTTGATGTTTCGCAGGATACCGTTCCCGTGCCGCGTTCAAGCTTATCCAGTTGAATCGCCGTTTCGGATTCCTTCAGCAATCGCAGGTGTGCATCGATCTTTGCGCTGCCCCGGGAGGATGGATGCAAGTGGCGAAGCAGAATATGCCCGTCTCCAGTATTGTCGTTGGTGTGGATTTGTTCCCGATCAAGAACGTTCCCGGTTGTATCAGTTTGATGGGGGACATTACGACCGACAAAACGAAGGCAGATTTGACAAAGGAACTGAAGACGTGGAAAGCCGATGTTGTGCTGAATGACGGTGCTCCGAATGTGGGTCGGAATTGGTTGTTCGATGCGTATCAGCAGGTTTGTTTGACGCTAAGTGCGACCAAGCTTGCGACGCAGTTTCTGCGACCAGGAGGATGGTTCGTTACTAAGGTTTTCCGCTCGAAGGATTACAACGCACTGATTTGGGTGTTGAAGCAGCTGTTCCGGAAGGTTCACGCGACGAAGCCATCGGCCTCGAGAAACGAGTCAGCGGAAATCTTCGTCGTTTGTCAGGACTACCGGGCACCAGATAAGATCGATCCGAGGTTTTTAGACGCCAAGTATGTGTTCGATGAGCTGGACATTGAACCGCAGGTGAAGATAAATCTGCTAAAGGAGGTAGAGAAGAGCAAGAAGCCCAAGGTGGAAGGTTATGACGGAACGGATGTGCGGAAGATTATCTCCGTTACAGAGTTCTTGAAGAATGACAAACCGTTGGCTATGTTGGGAAGAACTACCGAGATTCAGTTTGATGATAAGGGGATTGCGAACCACCCGCGAACGACGGCTGAGATCCGTGAGTGCTGTAAGGATATCAAGGTTCTTGGCAGGAAGGATTTGAGAGATTTGCTCAAGTGGCACAAGATGATGAGCAGTGAGTTGTTCCCACATGAACACCAGGAGGAAGAGGATGTGAAAGGGAAGGGCAAAAAGTTGTCGACATTGAATGAGAAAGTTCAGCAGGAAGAAGGCGAAGAGGATGATGAGGAAACTGTTGAACTGAAGTCTATGGACAAGGAAATTGCTGACTTGAGGAAGGAGGAAGCGCAGGATACCAGGCGAAAACGCAAGAAGGCCAATAAGGAACGAACCAAGCTTAACGAGAAACTGAGCTTGAAGATGGTCATCAAAGGGGATCAGGGTCCTACGGAACAAGGGGATGTGATGATGTTCAGCTTGAAGTCAGTTCGGGATAAAAGGCAGATCAACGATCTTTTGGATGCTGATCCGGATATCCTAACAGAACCTGGCTTCCTCGACGACGAAGACGATGGTTTGACCAAAAAGAGGCAAAAGTTCGTCAAGTACGACAAGGAAACCAAGGGAGATTTGTTTGAGGACGAGAAAATCCTGGCCCAGAAGTCGGACGGCGAAGACAGCGATGCAGATTTGGATCGGGAAGGATTGGGTCTGGATGATACCGAGGAGCTTCAATTTGAAAATGACGAAGGCGAGGAAGATGTTGACAGCGACAATCCAGACACGCAAAATCCGCTGATCACCGATCTGGACTATCGGGATAAGGACGAAAAGCGACGCCAGAAGGCTCAGCTCTGGTTCGAAAAGGATACTTTCAAAAATGTTCTGACCGGTGAGGATCAAGCCGTAGATTACGATCTGGATCGCCTGACGGAAATGTACCGGAAATCGGGTGCCAAAATCATCGGCGATGATGACAAAGACAGGCCGCTCGGAAAAAAGGCACGTAAACGAGCAAAGCACGACGTCGAAAAGGAAGACTCATCTTCGGATGATTCGGATTCCGAGGCGGAGGTGGAAGTGAACGACGAAAGCTTCAAACACAAAACCGTCGAGAAAATCGGCGGCAAGGATGGGTTCGAAGTTGTTGCGGCGGAGAAGCGCGAAAAGAAGGTCAAACTGAACGAGGAGGAACTGGCTCTGGGTCAAATGTTGATTAGTGGCAAAAAGTCCCGTCGCGATTTGGTGGACGCCGCGTGGAATCGGTACATGTTCAACGACAGTAACCTCCCGGAATGGTTCGTCAAGGATGAGGAAAAAACCATGAAGAAGGAGGCACCGGTTCCCCATGAGGTCGTCGGCACGTACAAGATGAATCTGGAAGAGCTCAACGTCCGGTCGATCAAGAAGGTCATGGAAGCCAAGGCCCGCAAGAAGAAGCATGCTACCAAGCGAATGGAGAAGATCAAGAAGAAGGCGGAGACGATCATGGAGAATGTAGACGACACCAACCAGGAGAAGATCCGAATGCTGAAGAAGTAAGTGTTGTTACCTATCTGTAAATCTGACGTTGAATAACATGCACATTTCGAAAATTAATTTCAGGTTGTACAAAAAATCGGACGCCAAGAAAAAAGACATCACTTACGTGGTGGCGAAAAAGGCCGGCGCCGGTGGCAAGAAGGTTCGCCGGCCGAAGGGTGTCGAGGGTCGGTTCAAGGTGGTTGATCCGCGTATGAAGAAGGACTTGCGAGGATTGGACGCCAAGGAGCGACGGTCGGCCAAGAAGAGCGGCGGTAAAGGCAAAGGGGGCAAAGGTGGTAAAGGGGGCAAGGGTAAAGCGGGCAAAGGAGGAAAAGCCAAGCGGAAGTAGGCGGCACCGAGGAACAACGGTAAGTAAGTCGGATGGTTCTTTTGCTGTGCGGTGTTGATTTCCCCGTTGATGTGCGAGTGTTTATTTTTCCGTGCTAAATTTCGACGGAATTTGTTAGGATTTAAGGAAAGATCTAGAATATATTTCTGATAATATAGAGAGAGAGAGGGATTTACTATGTGCCTAAAACGTGTCCATTATGTCCATGGGGTTTGTTAAAGCAAGATGACACGGCTCTTTTTTGAAAACCGCAAGCCATTTGCACGGTGCCGTCCTTCTGAACATCCACAATCGATTGTGGATTGATCGGGGGAATCCCGTTTGCCATGAAGCCGTTCGGCATAATGCTTGATTGCACTATCTTGAAAATACTGGAATGTTCAGGGAATTTTATTTTGCCTGGAAAACACTGGAATTCTTAGGGAATTTCCAAATTCCTTTAAAACTTGTCGAAGAAGGGATTTGGGGGTGGTGATTTTCAAATCTCTGACCTAACATTCCAAAATATACTAATGGAGCATGCATAAATGGCCCAGCATTTTAGGGGGATGACCGACCATGTATTAGGTATATCAAAATACGTTACGAGGGGAGCGGGCGGTTTAAAAGAAATAAATAAGTTATGTGATTTATGGATGTTCCATAAAACGTAATGTTGATCGGCTCTCAGCTGGCACGATCACAACTCAGATCAACTCACCAATTAAGAATCTGATTTTTTAAACAGGCTTTTATTCATAAATAACATTAAAGTACCTATTCTTTTTTTAACAGATTAACCATTAGAAAAATACTTTACAGAGTGCGTTGTTTCAAAGTTAAAAACTAATCACTTATTTTTCGAAAGCGTCCGTTGCTTCTCCGCATGTTCGACGGTTTTCTTCTCCACTGGTAGTCCCTTCCGTTCCCGAATCGAATCCATGTAAACCTTGGCAATGTTGGTGAAGTCGGCCTTCTCGCCGTACTGTTCGTATTCTTCCTCCGTCGTCGGCACCCAGTACGGATCGATGTCGACAATCTGTGGAAGTGGAAATGTCAAATTTGAAATCCGCATAATTAAGCAACAATGCTACGATCAATACTACCTCCCAATGGCTAAACACCAACTGCGGCATGGCCAGTCCGGACGTCTGCTTGCGGATCTCCGTGGAAAAGTTGAACGATTCTATAACGGGAATCACGGCACTCACATCGAACTGTCCACTGCCCTCGATCAGATCGGCCGACAGGATCCGTCCCTGCCGCCGGCCGATCACGGCGTACAGCTTGCCCAGAACATCCGAATTGACCGTGATGTTACAGCTGTACATCGGATGCACCAACCGTTGCGGTTGGTTCTGGAAGGCTTTCTTGCATCCATCCTTGACGATGGACATGATTTGACCCGATAGGGGTCCGTGGGATACTACAGCGGCACTGGGTTCGTCGGTGGCCCCATTCGACGGGACGACGTTCCATTCCAAAACGAGGAAGCAGACACCCTGCATCGGTTCGTCGGCCAGGGGCCCAGCTAGACTGGCCAGCTGGAATCCGTTGACGAAGGACGATTCCAAATTGTACCGGATGTCGATTGCGGCTGGGTCCGTTTCGGTGGAGATTTGTCTCAAGTGCCACGCCGGTGGGTGCTTGAAGGAGGAACAGTTCAGAAGGATGTTGGTTCCGCATTTCTTCGGCCCGAAGCTCCAAATTTTGTCCACGGTTGAGGCGTCCAGCTCTTCGGTTTCGCTTTCGGCGAACATTTTACTCAGTTTGGTTTTTAAGTCTAGCAAGGATTCCTTAAGGTAGTTGGAAATTTCCTTCGCTTCCTGTGCCTTTGCTAGAGCTTTCAGAATTGGATTGCTTCGCTCTAGCAGTTCAACGGCTTCGGATGGCAAAGGAATTGCAAGTAGTTTAATATAGCTCTGTTTGTTTGGCGTGTAGATGGTAACCGTTTTGTCCCGTTCCCGTTCTTTGGCTGCTTCCTCTTCCGGATTATCTTCGGAAGTAGGAACGAATTTCACAATCGTCTCCTTGAACGGTACAATCGGTTTTGACACGTTCAGCTTGATTTTAGCGTACGATTCCTGAAGGTCTTTGATGCATCGTTCCAGATGTACCTCGCCTAAGGTTAGGATAACGTGTTCACCGCTTTCCTGGATGCGGACTTGAACGCAGGCATCCGCTTGATTGAGAAGCTTCAATCCCCGTACCAATTTCGGCATATTTTGGATATCCTTCGGTTCGACGGCTACCCGGAGGATTGGAGTCGCTATCGCTGGCAGGTCTACAAACGGTGGACAGTACGGTGTGTTACTTAGGGTTGCCGTTTTAAGCACGTGGTTCTGGAGGCCAGCAATTCCTGCAATGCTTCCCGCTGGGACGGATTCTATCGGCTCCATATGGCGACCCATCAGCATAAACAGGTGATCCACTTGAACCTGAGCTATATGCGGTGATGCTTCCAGATCGTATCCTTCCGTAAGCAAGTTCCTAGGATCGTGTTTCGGTCCAATCACGTACACATTGTCCCCTCGCCTGAGCGTTCCGCTGTAAACCCGTGCAAATGCTAGGAAAGCTTCATCACAAGAATCTGCCACAGTCGGTTCTTGATTCCCTTCCGGACCATCATCTAGGTTCATTTTCGAAAAGCTTTCACCAACCAACCGAGGCAGTGATTTTCGATCGACGGGGAACATTTTAGAAATGAACACGATCAACGTTTCGCTCTTCGAGTCGCATTTTCGAATATCCTCTTGGAGCCTTTGCGTTCGTTCTGGGAATGCCCGGAAATCTTCCATTCTCGAACAAAGTAACTTCTCCGCTTTCGATTCCGGAATCATCCGGGGATTCGGCACAATGTTCACGACCAGGTCCAACAGTGATCGCTCCATCGGTAGCCATTGAGATAGCATGTTTCGAATTGGAATTCTAATGTCGGCATGCTTCAAATCACGAGCCGTCTGAGCAACACCCAGCTTCTCCGAAATCGTTTTTAGCTTTTCAACGTCCCTATTCTCCACCAAGTCGTACACGTTCCACAGATTATCCAAAACCAGCTGGACAAACAGTGGCTTTCGACCTTTTTCAAATGCCCCCTTTTCGATGCTTTTCTTCTTGGGGCTGTAGAAATAATCGCCCCACATCGCATTCTCCAGTTCGGCCAACGGAACTCCAAGTTTCTCATGATACAGTTTGGCGAACACCTTCAACGTGAATCCCCATCCATCCAGCGCTGACCCAAACAGAACATTCCCGTTTGCTGGCGTGTAGTATATTCGCGAATCATCCGTTTCCTCCAGAGCCGACACCTGATGTTTCGAACTCAAATCCTCCTTAGCTAGTACATCGGACGCAAATATGTTCCCAACCACGGCATTTACCTGTTCGAGAACCTGTGACAAGTGTTTGTACGCCTCCAACGGGTCCATCTTCTTCTCCAGCACCAATCGATCCACCTTGTTCAGTAGAAGCACCGTTCTCAAATTCTCACTATAAGCCTGCTTCAGGCATATCCTAGTCTGGGGACAAACGCCTTCCACAACATCCACCACCACGATCGCTCCATCACAGAGCCTTACCGCCGTGGAAACTTCGCTGGAAAAATCCACATGCCCGGGCGAATCGATCAAGTTCACCAGATGACCCTCGTAGTACAATGCTATGCTACTGCTTTTCATCGTGATTTGTCGTTCCTGTTCGTCCGGCCGGCTGTCCATGTAGCGCAGCTTTCCGGCCAATCGATGCGAGATGATTCCATTGCTGGCAATGAGCGAATCGGCCAGCGTCGTCTTACCATGATCTACGTGCGCTAGGATGCAAATATTTCGGATACACTCCGGCTGCGACTGCAGTCCTACCAGCTGGGAAAAGTCCACGCGGACCATGGTGATTTTATGGGGAGACCACTCAGGGACGTCTACGCTCGTAAATTCGCGGATAATATCAACGCACGTGTCAAGTAGCGACGAGGCCGTGAGCAGGTGCAGTTTGTTGTTGTTTACGTACGAAAATTTGCGAACTTCTTGAAGTGGAACGGGTGGAAAATGAAACCAGTGCTTTAAAAGGGCTTTTAGACTGAGGGGTGTTCCCATGGTAGGACACACGCTAAGAAAAGAAAACCCAAATTTAGATATTCGATTTACTCAGATTTGGGTTCGTCCTAATCTAGAGGAAGAGGAGACAATAAGAAAACTAACGATTTTAAATTGGCTCACTACCCTAATAAAAAATAACCATAAACGAACGATAACCCAAATCATTGAACTATTCCACAAATGGTTTGGATGATACCCAGAACACGTCGTTAAGCAAATTAACCATACAATTTTTATTAGGGTACTTGACTAGCCTATTGGTCCCAATAGGCTTGTCATCGATTTGCTTGAGACCAATAGGCTAGTCAAGTAGTGAACCAATTTTAAATCGTTAGTTTCCACCGGTTGGTTGCCTCCTCTTCCTCTAAGAGCATCCATAGATTCCATAGATAAGCGGAGGCACAAAAAGTTGTTTTGGCAACCATGAAAAATAAATGATCTTTCTGGCATCCGTGAAAAAAGTTCATATTGTCATCATAGAGCTCTTCGTTGTGCAGTTTTGTTTTGTTTCGTGCGTAAAAGTTTAAAATGAAGTGCAAAGCAAATCTTTGCAACAATGAGTCGAGGAATGGTTTGCTTTATCTTTCCTTCTTCCGTTGTCCGCGAAGTAAATAGGAATGTGGAGTGTAGAAAGCGTTTTGTGCTCATAATATTACAATACTTTTTGTTTATTGTTTATTGAAAAATTCAACTGACAAATACTGTCTAAATGAATAAAACTTAAACTAAATAGTTACGGTCAACGGTACGGAAAAGGCCAAGTAGCCGATGACGAAACACGTCAGCTGATACATTGAAGTCGAACATATAAAAAAAGTTGTTGAATTGCCGGCTGATTGCTCGAATTGGCTCGTGTTGTGTATAATTCCGGCTCCGTGGTTCCAAAAACAGAAAGTCGCGTTGACGAAGAGACCTCTCAGGAGCATACATATTTAGTTGTGACAGCAGTGTTGGGCAGTCAATGTCACCTGTAAGCAGCTTTCCAGCGAACATAGCTTGAGCGACCGTCCGTCTCACCTCTAATGGCTCGATTCCCAGGAGACGGCAACGCTCCTCGTACGGTGGCAAGTTCGTTGGGTCACGCCAGTTGAGGAAACGAAGAGCATATCTCACAAACTTGCGTTGAACGGATTCAATTCTAGTGATCCAGCTAGCATGGAAAGGGCACCAAACAACTGAACTTGACTCCAATAAGGATCGCACAAGCGAGCAGTAAAGTGACCTGAGACATAGCGGGTCACGAAACTCGTCGGCAATTTTGAAAATAAAGCCCAATTGTCGATTAGCTCTGGAGATGATGTCATTGTAGTGGATTCTGAAAGTGAGTCTGCAGTCCAAGGTAACGCCGAGATCCTTTATGTGCTCTACACGAGCAAGACAGCGTCCGTAGAGAACATAGTCAAACATGATTGGTTCAATTTTTCGGTGATATGAAATAATGTTACGAGTTGTCCCACAGCTGTCTACAGCAGCAGTCGAATTTTTATTTCGGTGTGAACCACGCGATAGCCTGTTTTTGAGACTCGCTATTATATAGTTGCTCTTTGTTCGTTGCTATCAGTTTGTGCCTTTTGTTGCTACGGTGCAAGATGTGTGAAGTAAAAAACACCATCAAGTTTAGCTTCAGCCATTATGATGCTAAACCAAACATCGGAGAGATTGTAAATTTCGCCAAAGCACTCGACGCGGATCCGGCTGAAATGGAAGCTGTTTATCGCATTGGTGAGGAAAGGGGAGTCTTCATAAAGTTCAAATCAGAGGAAGCGATGCTCCATGCTCTGACATACAATTCGGAGGATTTAATCTTCCATTATGCGAATGGAACGACGGCAAAGGTACGCATGTCGCATGCTGGTGAATTTATCCAGTATGTGCGTGTGTATGACTTGCCACCAGAGGTACCGGACAACGAGCTGGATAAAGTGCTGGGGAAATATGTAAAAATTAAACGCATCATCCGGGAGAAATTTCCATCTGATCTGTGCTTTGAGGTTTATACAGGGATACGCGGTATATATATGGATGTGAAGAAGGAAATCCCCACGTCATTGTATTTCTTCAACCGCATAGGAAATATATTTTATGATGGCAACAAAGATAAATGTTTTCTGTGCAAGGTGGACGGACACCGGAAGCTTTCCTGTCCCAAGCGGAAGGCTCGGAAGGAACCGGAGAAGCAACTAAAGGAAAAAGGAAAGCAAAGTGAAAGAAAACAAAACAGCAGCAGTACGTATGCTGGTGTAGTGGTGGAAGGTGCGTCGTTTGTCATTAGCGACCAGGAAACGGACACGGGGTTGGAGATGTTGAATGAAGATAACGAAATGGACGAGACGACCCCGACGACCGACGAGAGTAGCGGAGAGCATGCAACGGGAAACGATGTTCAGATGCAGCAGCAGCGATCACGTTTCGGGTTCAACGAAAATGAGGAACAAATTCGGGAAAGAAAGAAGTTGCGTGCACGGGAGAAGATCGCTTTGTCGCCGCTTCGATCGCCACCCAGGAAAATCCTTTAATAATATGCATTTTATATCTTTTGTTTGTATTTTGAGTACCAAAATTGGTATTCCATGTTACTCGGCTCCGCTAAGTTATTCTTTTAACATTTGAGCCTGCCAAATAAACAAAATGAAAAAAAAAAAAAAGAAATAATGTTACATTTTTCTATGCTTAGACTCATCAAATTTCTTGAGCACCAGTCAGCAAAAATACCTAACACATTCTGGAGATCCCAGCAGTCCGAGAGGCTTTTAATAATTTTGTAGATTTTCGTATCGTCTGCATAGAAAACGCGGCATCCAAATGGTATCAGCAAGGCGACATCGTTTAAAAAGGTCGAAAATAGTAGCGGTCCTAGGTTACTGCCTTGCGGGACTCCCGAGTTGTTTGAGAAAACATCCGATTCCGACGCGCCAATCTTGACATGTACGTAGCGATTCACCAAGTAAGATCTGAACCAATCCACAGCAGTTGACGAGATGCCACGTATCTCCAGCTTGGCCAGCAGGATATTATGGTCCACCGTGTCAAATGCAGCTTTTAGATCCATATACGCAGTATTATACTTGCCATCCTGAATCCATGCATCGCAGACAGTTAGAAGTGAACTGCACCAGGTTCGTGGACACGGAGCGCTTCGGGTAGAAACCGTGTTGTTCTGTATCGATATAATTTTTGCTGCGTGCGAACAGAGCACCATTTATGATAATCTCGAACAGTTTTGAGCAGGCACACAGGGAGGTGATTCCACGATAATTTATGGCATTCCATTTATCTCCTTTTTTGTGCACTGCGAACAGATAAGAAAGTTTCCAGCGGCAGGGGAACTCACATTGCTGTGCCGAGAGATTGAATAGCCTCGCAAGTGGAAGGCAGAGATTGGCTACACGACGCTTTAGAACTGATGACGGAATGCCGTCAGGTCCGGAGGCGAACGATAGCTTCAGTCTGCGTGTTGCGGTCTTCTGAAATGCGCGGAATAACGAAACTAAACACATCACGTGGCATCCCAACAGCAGCATCCAGCACTTGTGTTGGCGAAGCGGAGAAATCGTTGAACACTTGCTTGAAATGACGAGCAAACAAGTCGCATTTTTCTCTTTCACTATTAGCCGAGTCATTCCCGAGAAACATGGAACAAGGCAACCCGGATTCCTTCCGTTTTGAGTTGACAAACGACCAAAAACTTTTCGGATTCGTGCGAAGGTTCGCTTCCGTGCGTCTCACGTGTCGATTATAGAGAAAACGATAACTACGACTCGCAAAATTGAACAGTCGTTTGTAGTACGGCGAGCGAGAGTTACAATACTTTCGGAGGGCGGCAGAGCGTTGACGTTTTAGCACACGTAGGCGTGGGTTAGACCATGCAGGCTTTAGCGGAGGTCGTCGAGCTGGGACAATGCGGAAAATAACATCTTCCAGTGCAGCACTGAAAAAATCCACTGCATCATTCACGCTAGCGGCAGTTTCGATAAATTGCCAATCAATTTCCGCAAGCGCATTGTTCAATGCAACATAATCGGCCCGGCGAAAGTCCAAAGAGTAGCACTCAGATGACGGCGTAAAAAGAATCGGCACAGGTAAACTAAATGACACGACGAGAGCGGGATGATCGGCTCTAGATCAATCAGTGGCTCGACGGGCAAGGAAACAGAAGTGCCCGGTAGTGCGGAATCATTTACCAGGACAAGATCTAGCAAACGTCCATTTCGGTTCGGAAAAGTATTCACTTGTGTGAACCCGTAAAAGTTAAAACCGTCCAAAAGAGCATAGCAAGCAACCGGCGTATGCGAAAGCAGTGGATCAATTAATGGTGTGCCACTGTCTGTAAAGCGCCACTGTAGACCAGCTTGATTGTAGTCACCAAATACGAAAGCGGGAGAGCAGGGACTTAATTGTGACGAAATTGACCCTAACGATTCCACATGCTCACGGATGATCGTGCAGTCGTTTTTGCGGACTTCTACCTCAAACAACACCATGATGACGTCATGCTCGATTGGCTACACTAACTGACAGTTCGTTTGGCTACATTATACTTTTCCTCCGCTTATCTATGGAATCTATAGTAACTATAAGTGCAACTACTCTAAAGTGAGCAAACGGAGCAAACGCAACCCTAATAAACAAATACCATACTGTATCGTGGATGGGTAAACTATCACACAAATGGTTTGGATGATACCCAGAAAACGTCGTTAGGCTCTCTTTTATGGTTATTTTTATTAGGGAAGTTCTCACTTTTGAGTAATGGATGCATTTCAAGCTGAACATTGCATTAGGTCCTAAGTAACATTGATCGATTCTCTTCGTCGACTTTCTTTTTCGTTAATAACATGAGCACACAACCGTTTCTTGTAGTGTTTGT